GTCACAAAGCATTAGTTCCTGTTGCTTTCTTCTAAGAGTTTATGGTTTTAGTTCTTACATTTAAGTCTTTGATCCATTTTGAGTTAGTTTTTGTATATGGTGTGAGGTATGGGTGCAGGTTCATTATTTTGTTTGTGGTAATCCAGGTGTCATAGGGCCTCTAGCATTGATCCTATTTTTCCTTCTATGAGCTTTTATGGTTTTAGTTCTTACATTTAAGTCTTTGATCCATTTTGAGTTAGTTTTTGTATATGGTGTGAGGTATGGGTGCAGGTTCATTATTTTGCATGTGGAAATCCAGGTGTCATAGTATCTTTTAAGGAATGCCTGTTACTTTTTTTTTTTTTTTTTTTCCCCTCATTCCTCAATCTTTGGTCAGGAAGGGAGGGGACTTTACCTCCTTCACTTTTCCTTTAGATAAGTTTCGTTCATAGTTTCATCCTTATTTTCTGCATATTTTCTACACCCTGTAAAGACACTCTCATTTATACCATGAATTTATTACTACCATAGATTTAATGATGCTTCCAAAATTTCTCCTATCCCTAACCTCATTCCTGGAGTTCAGAATCTGTATGTACTATGCTAGATATCACTGGCATGACCCAGGTACCTCAGGCTCAGTCAGAACTCAACCCTGTGCACCTCTAGTCTATTATTACTGTACCTTTTCTGTCAGTCTCTCTGCCTCTGATATTGTTTCCTCCCTCTTCTGCTTCTCCATCCGACCTCCTGGAAAAAAATATTAACACACTGTGACAAGTGTAATCTTTCCAGTACACAAAATCAGCCAGCTTCACATTTATGCTGCTACGCCTCTTACACTTTATATTCTAGCAGTACTGTGGTCTACTTGCTTGAATGCTCCATGTTTACGCATGTCTTTGCTTGTGCTGTTGTTTCTTTCTACTTGAAATACCCTCTCTGTTTGCCTGCCTGGGAAAGACATCCACTGAGCCTCAATTCGAGCATCATCTCCTTCATGAGGCCTTCCTGACATAGACGTAGGTAGCCCTCCTGCCTGTGTTCATATTCTGTTTGAACACATCTCCACTGTCATAGTTGGCTTTTCTCAGCATGCCCATTGTCCACATGTCTTTCTCCCGTTTGGGCCAAGCTCCTCAAAAGCATCAGCTGTGTCTTGTCCCTGCATCCTCAACGTAATATCTGGCACCTATTAGGTACCCCATAAACATTGGATGAAAGAACAAATGACCAAAGAAAAACATACTCAGAACCCATGTTCATTACAAAAGTGTTTTTTGTATGGGAAGAATAAGCTAATTAAAAGTACAACAGAAAAATCCACCACCACCACCACCACC